TCCTTTTCTGCATCTGTTGAGATAATTGTGTGGTTTTTGTTGTTAATTCTGTTTAAGTGATGAAGTATACTTATTGATGTGTGTATGTTGAACCAACTTTGCATCCCTTTAATGAAACTCATTTTATCATGGTGTGTAATCTTGTTGATATGTTTTTGAATACAATTTAATAATATTTTATTAAATATTTGTGCATCCATGTTCTTAAGGGATATTGGTCTGTAGTTTTCTGTCCTTGATGTGCCTTTGTCTGGTTTTGGTATCAGGGTTACAGTGGCTTCATAGAATATATTTGTGAGTGTTGCCTCTCTTTCAATTTCATGAGTAATTTAAGAAAGATTGGTGTTAGTTATTCTGTAAAGGTCTGGTAGAACTCAGCTGAGAAAGCATCAGGTCCTGGGCTTTTTTTTTGGAAGGATTTTAATTGCTATTTTAATTTCATTACTTGATATTGATCTGGTTAGGTGTTCTTTATCTACCTGATTCAATTTGGGAAGGTCATATGTGTCTACAAACTTGTGAATGTCTTCCAGATTTTTCAGTTTATTGAAGTTAAATTTTCAAAATAGGTTCTGATAATCCTTTGGATTTCAAAGGATCTGTGGTAAGATCTCCTTTTTCTTTGTGATCTTGTTGAGTTGTTTCTCACACTTTCTTCTGGTTAGTTTGGCTAAAGTTTTTTGTCAATCTTATTCATTTTTTTCAAAGAATCAACTCTTTGTTGCTCTGATCCTAAATATTGTTTTCCTATTCTCAATTTCATTGATTTCAGCTCTGATCTTATTTACTCCTTGGCTTCTACTAGTTTTGGCATTAATTTGCTCTTTTCAAGGTCTTGAGGTGTAACACAAGTTTATTTATTTGAAATTTCTCTAGTTTTTTTTATGTAGTACTCAGTGCTATAAATTTTCCTCTTAGAACCATTTCATACTCTCCCACAGGTTTTGATGTTGTATCTGTTCTCATTCCTTTCTAAGAATTTCTTGATTTTTATTCTCATTTCTTCTTTGATCCATTCTTCCTTTGAGGGAGTATTTTTCAATCTGCATGTGTTTATGTGGTTTCTGTTATTTTTCTTGCTGTTGATTTCTAACTTCCTCTCATTATGATCTTCAAACAATTATTTTAGCACTCCATTAAATTACCTTTTCTGTTTTCATAGATATACTTCTTTTTTTGTTTATTTTTAGTGGTTGCATTCTGACTAAAATCAGTAATTTTAATTTATCAGATAGATAAATATCTATCCATTTATGTTTTATACCTCATGTTTGACTCCTCATACTTCCTACTTTATCCCTTCCTCTTAACTTCATATTCTACAGCATACTTTATCATGTAAAACTTTTTCAAACACATAGTTTGTCTTATCTGCAACCTCTTTTCTTTTTGTGCTTATTTTAATCTTTTCTCTCTCTCACATGCTTTGATCTCTAAATTAAGTTTTAGTATTTGTTATTGTTTTTGAGATAGTTTATAAAAAGAAATAAAAGGTAATATTTTATATCAATCTGCCTTGTATAATTCTCAGCATTATTTTTCCCTTAGTGCATATTTAAGCTTCTTTTCTTTAATATGTCTTTCAACCTGTATGGCATTCTTTAGTGTTTATTTTATTGAAGTTTTACTATGAATTCTCTTATTTCATTTCTCTTCAGGTGCTTTGAAAAATTTTCTCTTATCTTGGCTTAAAGTAGTTTAACCACAAGTTGCTTAGTTGTCACTCTTTTAACAATTATGTTATTTGTGGGTTTTTAAAAAAATTCTTAGAAATCCATAAAGTGGTTTACATAAAATTTGAACATTAAGTTTTTGGACATTATTTCTTTCAAAATTTTTTGTCTTATTCTGTGGCTCTACCTAATCACATGCATAATAAAGTGTTATATTATCTTAAATATCCTTGGGAATTTATTCATTTTTGAAGTTCTTTTAGCTCTCTGCTTATCATATTGGGTAATTTCTCTTGCTTTATATTCATATTCACTAACTATTACTTTGCTATAGTCAATTTGCTGATGAGCTCATCTGATATCTTCTTCATTTTTATATTTATTATAATTTTATTTTCTACAATTTTTACTTTTTCCTGTATGTAGTTTCTGTTGATATTTCCTATTTATCACTTCCTCAAACCATTTGTTTTCATTAGTTAAATATTTATATAAGAGCTTCTTTAAAGTCTCCATCTGCTAAGGTCAACAATGGTGTCATCTCAGGTTCAGGTTCTGTTGATGGTTTTCTTTTTCTTCACTATAGATGCCTATATCTTTGTATGTCATATTTTTTCCTTATTTTGAAAATTGAATTCTGCCAATTATAATCTGGTGCATATTATGAATTTTGTAATATTCCTCAGATGGCCTAGATTCTTTTTTAGCAGAAGTTTCAAATTTTGACATGTGGTTGTGTAGGTTTGATCTTATTCTGTTGTTGATATCGATTTGTAGAAAGCCCAGGTGTTTTGTGGGCTTGGAAGGACCCAGCACACAAACCATGTCTCTGATATGCATCTTGTAGGGGTGAGCTTTAGGCTTTGTTGGGGTGCATCTAGAGGAGTTGTTACTCTAAGTCATGGTCCTTCCTCTGTACATCTTTTGAATGTCACAATAGGATTCTAGGTGTTTTAAGTAGGCAAGACAGTAACACAGCCTCAACAGGTCTTTTCTGTAGCTCTGCTCAACCTCTAGTGCTTCTGCTTGCTTTCAGTGCCCTAGACATTGCCCTCTTGTATGCCTTGAGTGGTTTAACTTTGCACTTACAGCTCATCTTTCAGCTTTAGGCTTGAGGAGCCCCTCACATGGGTCTCTGAGGCCATTCCTCTTCAATGACCCACCACATACAATCCAGTAGCTTCAGCTTCCCTGATCCACAGTCTCTATAATATTCATCTGCCCCTTGTATATTTCCTGAAATCAGAAGCTTCCTATCTTTGACTAATATTAATATTCTGTACAATGAGAGTTTATGTCTGGTCCTATTTGTTCCATTGTGGCTGAAAAGAGAACCAATAGATTCTTGGTTAAGAGGCCAACAATTAAGAACACTGATTTTGAATTCAAACAGAAATGGGTGGTGGTAGTTTCTTCAGGTCCTTGGTTGTTTTTGTTTATTTTTTAGTTTTTTCAAAGCCTGTTCCCTTATTTATAGATTAGGAATAAGTCCTCCATAATAGGGTTATTATAAGAAACAACAGTGCGTAGTACGTGCTCTGTAAATATTAGCTGCTGCTACTGCTACTACTACTACTACTACTTCATGTTCCTTGGTAAAATTATCTACAAAAGTTTTAATTTTAGAAGTTATTAAAATTTAATCTTATTCTACATTAGAATGAAGGTTTGTGGGGTTCAGATGTCTATTAATCTGACCCATGTTTATGACCTTAATTAGTTTAGAAAATATATCTCTGTTTTAGAAAGCATTTCTGAAAGAGCTTAAAGAATTATCTAGGGGAA